GTGACCCTGCTATGCCCACCTTCTTAGGGAATCCCTCTGCAGAGGAACCGAGAGAGCCAGGATCTTGTTAGGTTTTGCCCTCAACATCATATTTATACAAAACTACATTTTCAGTGACCATTTGAACCCCACTCGGTCGCGACAGATGGCCACCCCTTTCTGAGCCTTGTTCTGTTTGAGGTTTCTTCCTGTTAAAAGGGAGTTTTTCCTCCCCGCCATTGCCAAGTGCTTGCTCATAGGGGACTTTGGGGCTTTGTTAAAACAACCGCTGATAAGTTCAGTGGTATCAAATTTAGGACTCAGCAATTATGTAAATGGATGGTTCGTCATCAAGTTAGGAATACTTCATTTAAAACATATTCGCCAGTCATATTTAGTTGTGTATAAATATGAATTCTGGGACACTAAGGCCAAACAAAGAGTAGTTTGTACAATTGGGGGGAAAATAAATAAAAAATTGGAAGAAATAGATGTGTCATTGTTTCATGTAGATTTCAAGTAGCACAACATTTGATGTCATCATATTTTTGTTGCATTTGCAGTGCCTGTGTTATATTCTTATGATTTTGTTCATTTGAGGTGTATATCTTTCTGCCTTGCTTCATATATTTACTGTTTCTTGGCTAGCTTTAGTCATGCTAACATCAACACAGGTAGAAACAGATACACATCAGAGAATCAAATGGAAAATAAAAAAAATCAAAATATAATTAAGTTTCAGATTACTAAAGCTATCAATGGATCCACCGTCCCCATAGTGAAAACACATTTATATTATGTTCAAGTCAGTTGTTATCCAATTTTAAAACTATAACATTCAATAATGTCTATTTTTAGTTTATTTTGTTAATAATTGTTTTTAGGATTTTCAGAAAAACTAACATTATACATAGTTTGTACTTATTTCACTAAGTAACATTTTATTTGTGTAGCACTTTTCAACATAAAAACCACAACGTGCTTTACTGAGAAACTAAAACATAAAAACCACAATTAACCACAAGCAAGTTTTAAAAGATGAGTTTTTAGCTGTTTTTTTAAAAGAGATCAGTGAGTCCGTAGATCCCAAGCTCAAAGGGAGAGAGTTCCAGACTCTGGGGGCCACAGTTTCAAAAGCTCTGTCACCTTTTGTTTTCAGCCTCATATAATGGACAACCAGCAAGCCCTGATCACATGATCTCAGGGACCTGCTGGCGATGTATGGATATTAAAGATCTCTGATATATGTCAGTGCCTGTTCATCCAGAGCCCTTAATGTTAAAGTCATATTCTTAAAGCGTACTGGGGAGCCAGTGCAGCTGGATCAACAGGTGTGTGACATGAGAGTACTTGGAAGACAAGGTCAGAAGCCTTGCAGCAGCATTCTGAACACCCTGCAGACGTTCCCAGGAGGCATTACATAAACAAGTGAACAAAGAATTACAGTAGTCCAAACGAGATGAAGGAAATGCGTGTATGACAATTTCGAGTTCTGAGCATGACACAATGGATTCAGCTTTGCAATGTTTCTTAAAATATAATAACAGGAGCAAACCAGAGATTTAACATGAGCGTCCAAAGTCAGAGCTGAGTCAAAGTTTACTCCAAGATCCCTAGTAGAGGATTTGGCAAATGTAGCAAGAGGACCTACATTTTCCATAACCTTGGGCACAAATTTATCGGAAGCACAAAGAAGGACTTTGGTTTTCTCCTCATTAAGTTGAAGAAAGTTATCAGCCATCCAACCTCTAATGGAGTCTATGCGCCTATGCAAAATTTGTAGTTTGGAAACATCTTGGGGCTTAAAGGAGATATGCAACTGAATATCATCTGTATAGTAGTGATAAGAAATGTCCTTAAGAGTGCTCAGAAGGTGCTGAAGAGAAAGCAATTACAACAACAACAATAAAGGTCCCAAACAGGACCCTTGTGGCACACCTGGCTGTAGCTCAGGCAGGTAGAGCAGGTCATCTACTGATTGGAAGGTTGGTGGTTCGATTCATGGCTTTCCGCTAGTCTACATGCCAAATATCCTTGGGCAAGATATAAACCTTTTACATTACATTACATTGGTGCATTCATAAATGCACTAACAGCTTGGGAAAAGTGCTTGTGTGAATGGGTGAGATTGAGTGAATGAATTAGTTGTATAAAGCACCTTGAGTGCTCAGAGAAGAAAAGCATAACCAAGTGAATCATGCACAAAACAGAGATTTGAATGGAAAACTGTTCTTGAAGTACACAGATAGAGAGAGGGTTGTGCAGGAAGTGCGATTTTTATTGTGGTGGAAGCAAAACAGCGAAAGTAAGAGGGAATTCATGATGGTATTTATTAAATGTGAAATGTAGTTTTGATCTTCTTTTGCTGCTTGTTCAGTCAGTTTTGGTTGAAGAGTGACAAAACCTGCAGCTTCAGAATCTGTGAGATGTTGGCTTTCAGCCACAGCGGCATGTTGGGCGAGAAAGCCGACAACTCACAGATTTTGATGTGTTGGGGCCGCACTTTGTGTTTACATGTTTGTGTCGAATCTGTTTGCCTGCTCTCATTTGCTGTTTTAGCTGTTTGGTGGTTGTTAGCTTTAACCTGAGATTCTGGCGATTCTTACAAAATACATATTTATTCAAAAATCGATTCAGGATTTAATGAATCAATATCGCATTATTTAAGCTATAATCGATTTGAACTGGAAAATCTTTTTTTTTTAACCCACTCCTATGAAATATTCACACCAGGCCATCTGACAACAACAGCAATGCCACATTTATTCATCATTCTTCCTCGGTTTGGTTTCAGCAGGCTGTCTTGAGGATGTTTGCATGTCTAAGTGCTTTGAGTTGCTGCAAAAGGATGATTAGATTTGTGGATTACTGCAATGAATAGTGGAACAGATGTACCTAATAAAGTGGTTGCTAATTACATGTAGCATGACTTTGTTGGTCTATACATCATGCTTTGTTCTCAGATTGCCTGATTGTATAAAGTTTTCAAAAAAAATCTACTCTACATTAGGCCTGTGTAACCAAGGAAACATCTGACCCCACTTCCGGAAATCCCTTTATTGTGGCGGGAATGAACTCTGCATAAGTTTCGGGTCAATCCGCTGCATCTCCCCTGCTCTCATCACTGCTGCTGCTTCTGTGGTTGGTGTGCTTGTCCAAAACTCAAACGTGGCAATGGCGGAGGAGCGCGGCTAAAAACTCTTAAATATTACTCTTTCTGGGTCACAAAATAAACTTTTAAGTTATTTTCAAGCAGAGGCGGAATCAGACATTTTATACACCCGGGGCTTAGCCCTAAAAGGTAGTATGCATGTGGGATGGGGGGGTGTTAGAAATGACTGAAAGATTTATTTGGCTGTGTTTTGAGTTTTGTTCAAAAAAGAATGACTTCATATGGGAAAAACAAATCACATATGCAGGACACCTTAAACTAGTTTGCTAATCAAGCAGCAAGGCAGAACAAAATCAAGACACGAGGACTAAACCCCAACTCAACCAGATCCAGAACTGATCGGGAATTAAAACAGGACTACAACAGTTCAAAATCAGGACTACTTTAGGACGTAACCAAAACAGAACCAGAATCAAAACACTGAAAATCATCATAGACCTGCACTACACTTATTTTTTAATTCTACCAAAGAACACTATTTAGATTGAGAAGTTTATATAATTATTTAGCCTTGTTGTGCAAACAAGCCTGCATAACTTAATAAATATAGAATTTGAAAAATAACAAACCTAAAAAGATACACTATGTACGAGATACATGAGTACCTATGATACGGTGATACTTTTGGTAAACAACCATGTGACTAACATGTCTCACCTGCTCTTGTTCCATCTCTGTTCTGTCCTCTCTCTCTCTCTCTGTGTGCTGACAATCAAGCCAAACACCAACATCATCAAATATACAGTTGAAACCAGATATTTACATACTCTTCAGATAAAAACACAAATACCTTTTAATTGTAACATCAAATCAGACTAAATGTTTATTTTTTTAGATGGATAAATATAAAAAACATATTTGTTAACTTTAAGAGTAAAGAGAGAAATTGTCTGTATTCCTTAATAGCAAATGGCACCAAATTGTATTCAAAATTGAGCCACACTTATGCAGGTCCACAATTCTTTTCCTGGTGTTTTGGTTGACATCTCTTGATTTTCCCATGTCAAAGAAACAGGCTCTGTGTTTTGCCTTATACGCATCCACAG